TTGAACAAGGAAAGGAGAGGCATTTTAAGTTTGCCCGGGTGCAGATTTCAAAACCATCTGCATTTGCTATAACTAGAAGAATGGTAAACAGGAACATAGCTTTGAGGCAAGACAAAAATATACTTATCATTTTGCCAAGATTTGAGGGGAAAAAGCAATGACTTTTTTTGTACATGTCTCTCAGTGGTAGAAGGATCATTTCCTTTTAAAAATCTAAGGACTGGTATAAGGCATACATCTGCCACTAACTGGCATAGATAACCTTGAGAAACCCATCTTATAAGCTTCAGTTTCCTCATTTATAAAATAACTATAATAATAGTACTTATGCCCTAGAATTACTATAAGAACTATGAGATATGATATATAGAAAGTTGCTAGAATTTTCTCTATTACAAAACATATTGTTCTAGTTATGATTTTTGATATTCTCCCACTCAATAAGAAAAAACTACTCAATGAAAACTATTTATTAAGACTTTGAGCTTATCCAGTGAAATATATTTTTCTTTTATAAATGTTACTTGTGACCGAATAATGGCTGGATAGTTCTTGGAAGTCTCTCCCCTTTTTGTATGCTAGCCACATATGGTAATGTTTGGGGAGAGTAAAATCTTTATTATTTGATGATTATCCCAGGAGTACCTCATCACATCATGCCTGCTTCGTGGTTAGCTGCGGGAAATAACTGCAAAGCCCTTCTTCTTACCCTGGGAAGTGAAGAGCTCTGGCTCTCTGGCAAGTTCTAGCCCCAGCACAGTCTTGTACAGAAAGATCTGAGAATCGGGAGGCCTGGATTCAAGTTCAAACTCAGTTACTTACTCACTATTTGTCCTTGAGTAAACCATTTAACATTTTCAGCACTGCATGAACTAGAGATGTTATTGGGGCCTCCTCTTTTTCTTTTGTAGAATTATTAAATCCTCCACAGGGTGACTGAGAGTAATTATAAAACACTAAACAATTAGGCCACTTGGTATCATTATGGCAGACTTACTGATAATTATACTCATAATAGGGCCCATGACAAGATAATGAAATAATAAGTCATATTTTATGAGAACAGGTTAATTTTGATAAATAAGCCTTGCTCAGCCTCTATAGGCCTGAACAATAGATATCATTGTTTTTTCCTTAAAAAAAAAAAACCTAAATTGAAGTACTTTCTTTAAAAGAAAAGAAGGTACTATCGGTCTTTCTTTTCATTGCATTAACATTCAAAACTCCTCGTATTTAAAGTTTTAAGAGCAGGTTTGTCTCCAGGGGCTTCTGCTCCTTGGCCCCATAGCTCTGAGATGAGTACTCATACACTCAGTCAGTGTGGATGTGTTAAGCACTCAAGCACTTGCTTAATCAAGCTGTGTGATATGTTCCAGAAGCGATAATGAAAATGACAAAATGCAGAAGGAAAATATATGTAGGGAAAATACTGCATTAGAGGTAATGTCTTATTTTAAATCTTGGTTTGTCAAAGCATAGAGACATCAAATTGTTTCTTTTCCATTAGATAAAAAATCAATTGCATGTTCCTGGGTAGAATCCAGATTTCGTGACAGTAATTCTAATGATCCTATTTCCAGACAGCCCATCTTTGTCCCTTCCCAGACTCTGGCTGCTTCCGGTCCAGTTTTATTGGAGAAATTGTCAGATGCTTGCCAAATCAGAGCTAAGGAGTTTATCCACGTTGTTTTAGTCCCTTCCTAACTTCCTTCCCTCCTCATCCCTGATACTCATTCCACATGCCTGTGCCATGGCTGCCCCACCCCTCCCCTTAACCTCCCCCCCATTCTAAGTTTTCCTAACACAATACTATATCTCTAGGTAGTATGTCATTCCAATCAAGAGTAATCAAGTGTCGTGCAAGGAAGCATTTTTCCCAATCTGAGCTGCTTTCAACAATTTCCAATTCCACTAAAATGATCAACTTCCCAAATTTTGGAGGAAAACCTAAGACAGCATAATTTAAAGCTACCCTACCTCCTTTTGCTGGCTCCTGTCCACAGCATTCTGACTGGCTTTTTGGACAGTTTGTATCAACAATGTGGATTCAGTAAAACATTTATGAAAGTACTATACATGCTATTTCAGTCTACAGATTTTTAACTACCTTATATGTCTAGCAATCAATGTATAAAATCCCAATACCAGTCACTAACCACTTAGCCCCATAGCTCGGTAAGAAAGAGAATGGTTCTTTACAGTATTTACAACAGATCTTAGGACAAAGGAAACCCTTACTGTCCACCGGAGTAGTGGTCACTTGCTACCACAACCCCACTATCATGGAAGTAAAAGGATTTTAAATAAATCATAAGCCTAAAAATGTGAGAATAATTGGAAAAGATTAGAATTTAGAGATGGACGACAGGGGGACAGGTGGGAAGGAGAGGAGAGGAGAGGAGAAGAGAGGAGAGGAGAGGAGAGGAGAGGAGAAGAGAAGCTTTAAGAAACCTGAATTCACACTGGGAGAAGGAAAAGCCAGGAACAGAAATTCCAAGACTCAGGAAATAGAAGCATTGGCCTCTTCTGAAGAGGAGGAAATAGGGGCTGGGGATTTAGCTCAGCGGCATAAGCACCTGCCTTACAAGCAGGCGGTCGTGAGTTCAATCCTCGGTACCGATAAAAAAAAGGAAAAATACAAAAAAAAAAAAAAAAAAGAGGAGGAAATAGACAGAAGGACTCTATTTTAGTGGGTTTTACATTTTTAAAAACCAAATATCTAAAGCAAGGTATTTTATAAAGAAAAGTTTACTGAGCTGACAGTTCTGGACATCTAAGGGAATAGCGCCAGCATTTGCTCAGCTCTGGTGATTACCTCAGGGCAGAGACATATTAGGGCCATGTGACAGAGACAGACAGGCTGACTGGCAGACAGGAAGACAAGCCACATGACAAGAGAGAAACCAGAATGTAGCTGGCATCCCATGAGAACATTCGTTCCTTCTGAGGACATCTTCAGTGGCCTAACGTCTCACTATGCCTTACATCTTAAAAGTGCGACCACCTCTTCACATCTCCATAATGAGAACCAAGTTTCCAACAACTTTAGATACACACTTGAATCATATGCAAAGCATAGGAGGCTTAAAATAAGAATTGGCGAAAAGCCTGTTGAGGAGGCAGGGAGAATGGGTCTGGATTCGCACCTTCCCTTGCATAGGCAGCTGACTGCTTCTCCTCCACCAACAGAGCCTGCAGGTGCTACTGAAACACAGGGCCTCAGGACTGAGAGCACCTGGCACTGTGTTTGCACATGTGGATTAAAGTAATTATGGTTGCTCATTGGATGCTGAGACACAGGGTCACTTCTTCTCCTCCACTACCCAAATCCTCCAGTGTTAGCATTCTCACCTTCATCTTGTCTCTAGGCAGATGGCAAGTGATTTCTAGAGAAACGGACAGATCTGAAGGTACTTGTCTCACAGTTAATGAGGTCCACTCCTATGCTCAGAATTCCCCATCAGATGTCCAGTGTTTTAGTGCTCCACTCTTCAATATGAGTTTATAAATGAGGATTTACTACTAGTAAGGAAATCCTCTAACTTGGAAGTTAGACAATGTATCAGGATTCACCGGTGAAACAGAATTAACTAAAGATTATCAGGCACAGGCCTCAGGACAGATTTCTTCAAGAGGCTGGAAGCACAGGTCACCAAGGGTAACTCAACCAGAGAGACCTAGGTGATGGAAATCCTGGAGTCCAGTTAGCCATGAGTATTCAGAGAATGAGCGATCCAAAAGAGAGTGTTGTTTAACTCCAGGGAAAACAAGAAGTTGTGCATAAAAGTAATCTTAATTCACTATATATCTTACCTGTAAACATTTCAAAGTTAGTTGCAATAAGGCAAACACTAATTCTTTTTTTAGTATTTATTTTTATTAGGTCATGTTTCCAGTACTGATGATTACATTCATCTCGGAGAGTTGGTACATGTATATAACACATTTTAGTATCACCAGCCCTGATTACTGATTTAACTAAAATTTCAATAATATGATCTACAGTGAGCTATGGCCATCAAAAAGTAGTACCCATTTGTTGCAGTGCTGAAGGTTTGGAATAAAATATATATGGTAGAAATTCAGCCAAAAATGCCTAAGATTGAAATAGGCATTCACAAAATGAAATAGTCACAAAATAGCAAAATTTCACAGGAAAAAATACTGACATACTAAAAAAGATGACAAGGTATAAAAAGGTGCAATGATGTATTTTACAAAATAAAACTTTATTTGTTTACTACATTCAGATATAACCTTAGCAACAACCACCAAAAACAATGAATTTTAGGGTTTTTTTGTGAATAGTGAATAAAAAGATAATACTGCTTACTTTTAGAATCTTACCTCATCTGATATTTAATGTTCTCTGTAGTGAGGATATTAATGCCTATTTTTGCAAGATGAGTTTCTGAATAAAGAAAATAAAAACGATAAAACTCAGAATTTGAATGGGGAGCTAGATGAACACCGGAATTCTCCAATTACCAAGTACATGTGTCAACCTGAGTTTCAACGGAGTTGTGAATAGTTTCTTTGTATCTTGCTCTCCCCTCTCTTCCTCTCTAGGTTGGCATTTTCATTCTTAGCTAAGAGGAAAGGACACATGGGTAAGAGGGAGCAGAGAAAGGAGAGAGCATGGTTGCAGTGGGACAGTGTTCCCACTGCTATGTACAGTACCGGCATGGTAAAGAAAGTATCTTTCCCCTGTCCTGGTGTCTGCTCTTGGGCTCTATACCTTGCATGGCTCTTACCATCTTAGTAACATTCATTATATGGTTAATTAGGTACATTTTTGTCAACTAGTCAGGGATTCAAATTGTAACTTGGCATTTTTGTGGCAAGATACATTCTGAATAACTAATTTGCCCATCGTCTTTGGAATTTGGGCTCTACTTAAAATATGGTTCGAGAACCAATAGGACATGTTATGGCTGTGTCCAGGCACTCTGAGCATCGCCAGTGGCATCCATGACTCATGAGGCCCTCTGTTTCCCCAGGCTATCAATGTACCTGTCTCTCACAGTTCACGGGGAGAAACTGTGAATCCGAGATCACAGCCTGCTTCCCAAACCCCTGCCGGAATGGAGGCTCTTGTGACCCGATAGGAAACACTTTCATCTGCAGCTGTAAAGCTGGGCTCACTGGAGTCACGTAAGTGAGATGTGTTGCAGCCTCTCTGTACACTGCTGTTTATTGCTAAGAAAATAAAGCAGTAAAGGACTAAAAGTTTAACACTGATATGACTGACTTAGTATTATTTACTATATTAGAAGTACTTAAATGTTAATAAGGACTAAAACTGCTACCATGGTTATGAGTAATTAGTACTGTGTATTCTGTACCTGTCTATATTTTCATCACTGTTGTGTATTTTGTAATTTAAAAAATATTCTTATAAAGTCATCTATGCCACCTAATATTACCATATAATTCTGAGGCAAATACACTACCCATTTTCCAGGCTCCATTAACTGGACTCTACTGCCTAAGGTTTTATGATCATTCTTAGAAACTAAACCTTCCCTTCCCTTTACAAACCTTTTTTTCCTCCAAGAAATGAGTGAAATTAAAGTGCTAGCCAAATGGAAAGAGAATGTTTTAAATTCTTAGTAAAATGTCACTTTCAACTATCCTTGATCGCTTTAGAAGTGTGTGTATATATATATATACACACTTGAGATTATATATATATATATATATATGTATATATCTCAAGCAGTGATACTCTAATTACAGATCAGTCTTATGTATTCATTAGAGCAAATCTCCTGAGGACTTTACCAGGAAATACTTAGCTGACTTTGAATAGCTGGATGTAATTTAAAGTAATAAAGCTGCATTTATTTTTAAATACTTTGTGATTCTAACTAATTTCCGGCTGACCTGGCCTCAATCTGTTCAAATTAGGGACATTTGAATACATTTTAAAAGGGGGATTACCAAAAACACCGGTGACTGGGCATTTAAATGAGCGTATCAAAACAGAACAAGTGCTGAAGTAGAGAAAGGTGAAGAAGGAAAGAAAGTCTGCTTTTAGAGGGTGTAAAGGCCAGAAAGACTAAAGACTGGCCTGTCTTCTAATTAGGACATACAAAATGAGTCATGGGTTCCTTTAAGGGGAATAAAATTAACTTAATTATTTTTCATTAGAATGTTTTAGTCATTTTCCCCTGATCATCTGCGTTAGCACTGGCCGTTAACATAAGCATGGAATCTGGAAACTATGTAGCTCTCCAGCCGCCTGCCTAGCCTTGGTGCTCCCAGATTCCCAGAGGGAACAAAACTACTGTATCTGCTAAAGGAAAATGGCAGAACCAGAATCATCTTTCCTCTTAAAAAGAAACAAAACAAAACAAAACAACAAAAACCTCTATAACCTCTATCACAGTTCTTTATCTGCAATACTACAATCTCAAAATCTCTGAGAAATAAAATGGCTTGGCATGCATTAGTGGCAAAATAATTTAGTGGCAAACTAATTTAGTGGCAAAACCTGTCCAAAACTGCTCTGGAGCTGTTTCTAGTTTTAAGTTCTCATTTAGTGTGTTTGCCCGCAGAAACACTGGTCTGTTTGATTATGAGGTCCTATGCTAGCACCGGTTCCCGTTGGAGGGCAGGAATGTTTTACATAATGTGAAAGAGCCGCACTATATGTCCTTTTAAAAAACGCCCCCTTTTAAATTATGATACACACTTAGCTCGAGGGATTTGGAACTTGTTACTTTTCCCATTGTGTCTGTTCTCACCACCACCCACTGGGGATGAAGACCTAGAAAAGACTGCATTGGTAGGAATATGTTTATGCAAGAGGGTAATCCCTAAATTAAATCACAGAAATCCCTAAATTAAAATACACACACACGCACACGCACACGCGCACACACACACACGCACACGCTGTCACTTCAGTTCCCTTCCGATGCTTTCTTCTCTCTGAAGGTAGCCTTTTCTCCTTGCACTGTGCTGGTCCTGATGTTGCGGAGGGCTTCTTTGTGTTCTCTCCCTGAAGGTGTGAGGAAGACGTCAACGAGTGCGAGAGGGAGGAGTGTGAAAACGGCGGCGCCTGCGTGAATGTGTTCGGCTCTTTTCTGTGCAATTGCACGCCGGGCTACGTGGGCCAGTACTGCGGGCTGCGCCCCGTGGTGGTGCCCAATATCCAGGCGGGCCACTCCTACGTGGGCAAGGAGGAACTCATCGGCATCGCCGTGGTCCTCTTCGTCATCTTCATCCTCATCGTCCTCTTCATCGTCTTCCGCAAGAAAGTCTTCCGCAAGAACTACTCCCGCAACAACATCACGCTGGTGCAGGACCCGGCCACCGCTGCCCTGCTCCACAAGAGCAACGGGATCCCCTTCCGCAACCTGCGCGGGGGCGACGGGCGCAACGTCTACCAGGAGGTGGGGCCCCCGCAGGTCCCCGTGCGGCCCATGGCCTACACCCCCTGCTTCCAGAGCGACTCCAGGAGCAACCTGGATAAGCTGGTGGACGGGCTGGGCGGCGAGCACCAGGAGATGACCACCTTCCACCCCGAGTCCCCGCGCATCCTGACTGCCCGGCGGGGCGTGGTGGTGTGCAGCGTGGCCCCCAACCTCCCTGCCGTGTCGCCCTGCCGCTCTGACTGCGACTCCATCCGCAAGAACGGCTGGGATGCAGGAACTGAGAGTGAGTAGCCCTAGCAGTACGCAGGCCACGAACTGGCACTGTGGTCCCCCAGAGTGATGGGAACAAATCGGGGAAGGGAGAAAGAGCTCGGGTGCACTGAGTCTTCGACATGGCATATGCTAGATAGAATCGTAACCACCCTGAAAAACCACTATGGTTCTAACTCCATTCACAGATTGGAGAACTGAGGCTCAGAGAGGGTAATTTCGTATGTCTCACAACAGGGCACCTGCTGGCTCCAGCGGGAGCAGCATAGCCAAGTAAGTGATGTGCAGAACCTGTGCCCTGGAAGATCAGAAGAAGGGAGCATTTCTAGTCCTAAAGTGAACATGGGAGGGGAGCACAGGGCATTCGAGTTCCAAGGCAGGTAAAAGGATCTGTGCGAAGGAGGGCATTCCACTGAGAGGGCCCCCACGGGACCAGAAGAAAAGAAAGTTGTTCTGTTTGGCTGTCATTTGGAGTCCGTGAAACACAAAGGTGAACCACAAGGCAGGAAAGTGATTCAGGCCAGGTAGCTCCCTCTCTGGCCTCATGCAACAGGATTTAACGCTCAGGGATGGGTCACAGGTGCAAAGGCCCAGGGTGGGAAAGGACTTGGTGTGTTGAGGAACACAGAAGAGGTCAGGAGAGCCAAGGTCTGGTGAGCACCAGGGGAGAAACTATGCATTTCAGCAACAACAGTCGTGCAGGTTCCTAAGCAGGTAAGTGGTACCTGGAGAAGCTACTGAACAGGACCAGAAAAGGAAGAAAGCAGAGAGCCAATCACGTGGCCTCTGTTAGCTTCTGGGTAGGGGATAGGGATGCCTCGGATAAAGGCATGTGGTATTTTTAAGCATGAATAAGATCTCGGCAGGAAACTTAAAGAGGGCCTTTGAGAAGCAGGAGAGCATCTACAGCAGTATAGAGCATGCATGTAGGGTTGGTTACCTGATGTTCACAATGTCTGGCTCTGTTGTTCAGAGAGAAATCAAGGCTAGAGGTGAAAATGTGGAAATCGTCTGCAGCAGCATGGTTGGCTATGCAGGAACAGAGCTCCTCAGTAAAAAGCAAGAGTAAATAAAGGGTAGTGAAACCAGCTTCCAAAGGTCTTTGGAGATTCCTACTTGTGAGTAAAAGGCAAAAAAAGGAGAAACCAGGACATCTGTATCTACCAACAATCAAAAAGGAGAGATAGAGGAGAGACCTGCTCTTTCAAAGTAGTGTGCTGTGTATAAAAGCCTTCAAAGCTCTTATATGACTTGCTGAGCTCAATGTCTAGAAGATTTTTAGATTCTCAAGAGCTCCTTAGTAGAACCATCAAGGCCAAAGCCACAATGCCACGGTTAAGGACAAAAAGATTTGTTGAGAATGCAAAGGTAAATCCACCTGCCAGGTGCTGCATAAGCTTACAGTGTCTCAGCTGGGTGGTGGTGTACCGTGGGGTGCCATGACCAGCCCATCAGTTCACGGAGGACAACAGGCTTGAGTAGGTAAAGTAACTTGCTTAAGGCACATAATTAACGAAGTCTGCGCATCAGGCACCACAACCCATGCTTTCATCAGTACTCTTCTTGGAAGCTTAGGCAGGAAAGAGCAAGAGGAAAATAAGGACATCTTGAAGAGGGAGGAGGGCCAAGCATGAGATCTTTGTATTCTAGTGCCGCCCCAGCAGGCCATCTGCTGATTCTTTCTGTAGACACATTTGTATTTTAAACAGTTGCCCTTGGATTTAAATCATAAATATATATCTACTCTTAAATTATCTGTAGAGTTGGGCTTTACTAGAACGTTGCCAGTCCACTAGCTTTTGTTTGTTTAGCAGTGGCAAAAAAGAGTTTTGAGTAAGTGGAGGAGGCGTGGGGGAGTTTCATGCATAACACTGTCTCCTGGGGTGGATCCCTGACCTTTCCTTTCTGGTATTCAGGGCTAGGCTTGTGTACCCCTCGTGCTTGGCTGAGGCACATCGTCATATTTTGCGGTGCAGCTGTTGGAAGGCGAATTTCTCCCTGGTGCCTCTCGCCACTTATATTGGTTGTTTATCCAACTCATCATTTTTCCATGGCTTCAGTGTCTGACAGCAGAGGCCGAGGCATCATGCCTTCTCCTAACACTGCTCTTTATGGAGGAAACAGTGATTTTTTGTGGCCATGAGCAAGAACCGTTACCTTAATCACAACTCTGTGCCTGTTTGTCCCCTCATGCTACGTGATGATTTGCAGCTTTTCCTAGTGATCATTTTATGCCACCACTTCATGATGTGACAGCTTTATTTCCAGGACCTACCTCAGGCCAAAACTTGTATTGACCCCTGAAGTACTGTTGGGTTTTACTGAATACATTTCCTTCTTTGTTAAGCAAGGCAGAGTTAGCTGGAGAGATGATCTGTGGGCAACTAATTCATTTTGCACTTGACAACCCCAAAATATGGGTTGCTTTTATCGCTCCCTTTGGTTCATCCAATACAAGAAAATAGTCCTGGTGTGTGTGAGGTGCTATGTGTGGGGGTTGCTGTTCAGGCTCTCTCTGTACAGTAAAGAGGAAAGAAGTATGTGGTTAAGGGCTTGTTCACACCACTGACTGACCTCCTGCTAAACACAGGGCACGGAACAGCACTTCCAAAAATGATGCCACACTGCCCCCTAGAAGGCAAAATCGAAAACTACACTTGTTCCCCAGAGATGGAAACCATAATAAATGTGATGGCATTCTTACCTATAAAATATTTATACCCCTATTTTAAAAGTAATCTCATTTAACCTGGTGTTGACACCATGTCAGCTCATGTAAATGATGTCAATGAAGTCTGAATGGCACAGAGCGATGCAGCCACTTCATCCTTGCTTCACTTTTCATGTAGTCCCTTCCCTTTGAGGAGGGAACAGCTACTTTCGGCTGTCAGCTATTTGGAAGCTCATTTACCACAGGTGAAGGGTTTCAAATCCATAATGTAAATCATTTGATTGACAGACCTTTGCCCCCGGTGGCACAATCAATTTTCTGTTTTAGAGCTGTTATTTTCTCTAAGCAAATGAAAGAGCCTTGAACTAAGTTGGAGAGTGGAGGAGCAGGACTTAACATATGCACAAGGTAACCAGTGTCATTTCTGCTTTCTCTTTGGCTGTTCACGAAGACAAAGGGGTTGACGACCCAGGAGAAGTGACCTGTTTTTCAGGCAGTAATAAAGGCAGCGCCTCTGAAGTTCAGTCCCTCAGCTCCTTCCAGTCGGACTCCGGTGATGACAATGGTAAGATTGCTCCTGTGCTTTGTGTGCGTGGGCTCTGTTTATTGTGCTGGAAAACAAGGGTTAGTGGGAAGGTGATGGACTGACCAGCCTTGTTTTTAACCTGTTCATGAGCTTTTGAGCATTTTCAGTAGGTTTCTAATTAACTCTGCTGTTGTGGGTCATTCCCAGAAAAACACCATACACTGCAGCTCTGCGCACACCCCACTGAGGGGTTAACAAAGCTTCCCTGGGCCTCCAGTAATGAACCCTCTTTGTTTCAATAGTTTATGATAGAGTTACCTCATTCGAAGGGATACTTAATAGCAGATAGAGATTTATTTCTTTTGTCTTTCTTTTTTTTTTTCTTATTGATGATCTCTTCCCTCTTCACTGCGCATCCAACCTCCCCACCATTAGAGAAATGCTACTTTCCTACAGAATTAGTAGCCTCTTGATGCACTGAATCTGCCTTACAGTCATTTGGGGTCATGAGCTCTTGTAGACTTAATTAAAAATTGCCAGACAGGTGGTGCATGCCTGCAGTGCCAGTACACAAGAGTCTGACACAAGAGTGTTGCCACAAGCTGGAGACCAGTCTGGGCTATGCAGCTAGATGCTGTCTCAAAAAAGCCAAAAGAGAAAGCCTATGAAGCAGCACCTTAGGAAAATGTACATCCTCCCTGAATGTCGCATGCAAATCCGTATGGCTCATGGACTGCTCTATGACCCCAAAGCTGCTGTCTCTGCTTCTTACAAATGAAACCAATGGAGAAAGCGTGGAATGCTGATCCTCTGCATTTTCTGAGCTGAGGAACCAGCACTGGAGTTTAGGTTGTTTTTTGCAGAGCAGGAGACGAAAGCAGAAACCATCAGAGAATAGTAAATGTTTTATCCTATGGTGGTAAGACAAAAATAGTTTCAAGTCATTATCACAAGGACAGGCAGCCTTACCACGACCTGAACCTTAGGTCACTTTTCCCAATTAACAACAATTGGCAAAAGTTAGGTATCTATTAATTTATCTATTCATCAGTCAAAGAAGCCTTGCCGAATTTCTTCTTTGTGCTGAGCCATATCATATTCAGAAGTACAAAATGAAAATGGCACAGTCTGCCTTCAAGGTAAACACAGGGACAGGTGAACTCTAGGACCATACAAGTAACCATGGATTTAAAATGATCCACTTTCCCCACCATCATCCCAGTGTCTTCACTTAGCAGTAAAAAGTTTCTGTGTCTCTCTGCTAGAATAACAAGCTGTGTAACAGTGAATTTCTGACCATGCACAGGAGATCAAAGCCAAAGATCTTTGACACAAGATGTTTGCCTCAGTGGCTCTTCTTTACGTATCCTCAGCCAAAAGAAAGCTACAACTAGTTTGCACTGTGTGTAAAATGTCAGTAACATACAACATCTGACCTCCCAGGCAGCAGCACCGGCGATGGTGCAGGTTGCCTGTTCTCACAGCCTCTTGAATTCATTTGAAACCTGTCATTTCCCCACAACCTGCAGGTATCAGCTAAAGCAACCCAGATAGACCATGCAGAATTCCTGTGTGATTTTAACTATTTGAGAGATCAGTTGCTGATTTTTCTCCCCACTGCTAGCAAAATCTGGACCTTGATTTGATCTGGGCTATCAGGGTCATCATTTGAGTGAGAAGCCATCAGATCTGCAAAGGTCATCTTCCATCATTGGCATTAGGTTTGGAGCAGCATGACTGGTCACCAAGTAATTACCCTGGGGAACAGTGAGGTCTTCCTCTGAGAGCCTTTGGGAGTTACTAATGAGAAATTAGCATGAACTTGATGAGCCAGTGCCTTCTTAGATTAATTTTAGGGGCCATGAAGTGTGAATTTATGATCCAGAAATCTCTGCCAATCATGCATTTGAGAAGGACAGCACCTGGACTTGGTGCTTTTCTTTTCCATTCCAGTAACCCCAGGACCTTCCAGATAAAAGTGTGCATTGACACAGATCCTGAAAGACAGAGTATGGGACAGCTTTCAGTGTTTATGTGCTGTATCTTCGTGGGTTTTTTATGTGTGTGTGTGTGTGTGTGTGTGTGTGTGTGTGTGTGTATGAAAAGATGTTAACCTGTGTTTAAAAATACACAACTAACTTGAAACTGTCCTTCCCTTCCCCGTCTTCTTTTCCTGCCACAAGCATCCATAGTGACTGTCATTCAGCTTGTCAACAATGTAGTTGACAACATAGAGAATGAAGGTATTTACTTTTTCTTCCCTAGTATTTCTTTGCATGAAGAGTTACTATTTTAGTCATTTTGTTTCCTTGTTACTTTGTACCAGTGTGGATTTTAATCAACAGAGAAAGCAACAAGCAGGTATTTTCAAATAAGACGCTAGATATTTCTGTATGGATTGGAATAAAATAAATAATTTGAATAAAACTCTAGCTCACAATTTTTTTTTAAATGTATGGAGTGCTCTTCTTACATAATCCCTTCCAAGGGATTGCCATTAGTCGGAATCCAGGTTAATGTCGCATTCATTCTTGCATTCAATAATATTTATTGAGCACCTACTATGAGCTGGAAATAGGAAAGCAACAAAAACTCTAAGAGCATAGCAATTAATTTCAATCATCTAACTTTTCTTAATTTCATAAAATTAGAGCATAATATAAATAGGATTTATCTTTTATTTTATAAATAACAACAGTGAAAAATTTTTAAAGGCTCACAGTATTTTAGAGGCATTTTTAAGGTCTTTAAAATGCTCTCTTTTATCCCTCCCCACATGATGTGGATTGTCAGATTCACTTTTTACTTTGTATTTAAACAGTGTCTGTCATGGATCAAGGACAGAACTACAATCGAGGTGACTGTCACAACCCCAGCATATTTTATTTTGCCTTTTGCTTTGCTGAGTTCACCTGCCCCCTTCCCTCGTCCTGTCTGAGGCTCTGTGATATAAATTTTGCATGTTCAGGTGTCTTGTGTGCCATGTTGAAGGTGAAAGCACCACCGGCATCTTCTCCCCTGTATGCGATACACCCATTTGCCTGCACGCCTCCTTGCTTTCTGTGGCCCCCAGGGCAGTGGACATGCCTCTCTCTGCCAGCATGCTGCCAGCCTGGCTCCCTGTGTAGCATGTGGACAGGAAGAGTGAGGTGGGGTGGGGATCAGGGAATCCTGAATTCTTTCTTTAGCACAACCTCACTGGTCGTGGTGTGGCTGCGTATGGGCTCTGCAGCCAGCAGGCACTGTCTCTCAAAGTTGCTCCTGCTTGTCCTCCTCAGACCTGAGTGTGTCTGTTCCCAAGACACCCTTGTAAGTAGCACATGATGACACGTGATGACCCCAGGCTTCTGAGCGTCTCCTGGAAGTTAAGAATTGCATGCCAGGTCCTTCTCTGCTCCTTTTCCAGCTGCACTGCAATTCTAGTCTGACAAAATTAACTTTCCTGGCATTTCTCTCACAGCCTATCACTGGGACACCTCTGACTGGATGCCGGGGGCACGCCTGTCAGACATTGAGGAAGTGCCCAACTATGAGAACCAGGATGGAGGATCTGCACACCAGGGCAGCACCCGGGAGCTGGAGAGTGATTACTACCTGGGAGGCTACGACATTGACAACGAATACCCACCTCCTCACGAGGAAGAGTTCTTAAGTCAGGACCAGCTGCCCCCTCCCCTGCCTGAAGACTTCCCAGACCAATACGAGGCCCTGCCACCCTCCCAGCCTGTCTCCCTGGCCAGCACACTGAGCCCAGACTGCAGGAGAAGGCCCCAGTTTCACCCTAGCCAGTACCTCCCTCCTCACCCCTTCCCCATTGAAACGGATTTGGTGGGGCCACCTGCGGGCTGTGAATTTAGTACTTTTGCTGTGAGCATGAACCAAAGCACAGAGGCAACAGGCCCAGCAGACAGCGTGTCTCTATCCTTGCACAATTCCAGAGGCACCTCGTCCTCAGATGTGTCGGCCACCTGCGGCTTTGAAGACTCCGAAGTGGCCGTGAGTGACTATGAGAGTGTGGCAGAGCTCAGCCTCGCCAGCCTTCACATACCCTTCGTGGAAACCCAGCACCAGACCCAGGTGTAGAGGACACGCTGTGGGCTCTTTGCCCTGTGTATCATGGAAACGGAGGAAGGGAATGATTGGCTGGGCTTGTGTCTCGGTAGAGAATATTCTATGGAAATGTGATATTTTCCTCAAGGAACTTCTTCACAAGTTGCAGTATTCTCAAGCAAGCTTGATCCAATTGGATGAAGAGGAGAGGCTCAAAAATTATTTCTGAGGGGGACCAATAACTCTTGCAGTAGGTACCTACATTCATGGCTAAGAATTCCAAGAAGAGTGGGAAGTGAGTTCACTCACCACTTTAAACAACAGGTCTTGTATGTCTTTGTGCAGTATTGTGCCCTGAAAAGTGTGACAGCATCGGCCCTTGCAGTATTAATAACCGGCAACAATCAGGGAACTATTGTTGCATGTCATTTTGAGCCAATGAAATGAACGTAGTAAATGGAAATAGTAGTAATGGTTGTTGGAAAAGTTAGTGTCTTAGATGAATGAAAAGAGAAACAAATATCAAATGGGCTAAAGCCTTTAAAATCAATTCTATTTTTTTTAATAAGCTGCCCAATTTTCAGCTATAAAATTAGGTCTGAGTAACATGTGTAGTATACTGAGTTTTTTGTTTGTGTGAAGCATCCAATATAATATAGTTGAGTTTTATGATCTTTGAGAACGTTATCAGTGAAGAGCAATATGAGGCTGGTTTGGGGTTCCACCATGTGGGCTGGCGAGGTTAATGCTATTCAGACATTAGAAAAAATGTGATTATCTGGTTTTACGTTTTCTGGTAAATATTTCTAGCCATCACTATAACTCTAATTTGGCTACATGAATTGGCCTCTCTCATTATATTGTTCTCTATTTCATTTTTATCGGTACCGGGGACCGAACTCACGACCGCCTGCTTGCAAGGCAGGTGCTTATGCCGCTGAGCTAAATCCCCAGCCCCCATTATATTGTTCTCTAGAACAAGATTTAGAGGTTTAAGCAAGATTCACAAATTCAGGTTTAAAAGAAAATGTGATACTTTCAAAGTTTTCAGCCTGAATAAATGCAATTCTTAAAAATGCAGATAAAAAGGCACGTGCTATTCTAAATTGGTAGTATAATCATTATAAAATAATTACATTTTTAAAAAGGAAATTAGACTAGTTATTGTGTATAAATTATAATTGTACGTGCATCTGGGCCTATGTACAAATATGTGCTCGCACTCAGTACTCAGTGAGGCTGCTCTGGAGGAAAGCAAGCTTGATGGTTTTAGGAAATGGACTGAGCTCAAAATCCTGCCAGTGAGCACGGCGTACCTTCCAATTTCTCTGATCTCAGTGATGTTAGAAAAACACCAAACGCCATACTTTACTCTAATTCAATTCCCTTAATTTTGGTACTGCCATTTGTAAACTTAAAGCAAAACTGTGCTTTTTAAAAACAGTATTTTATAATTTTCCAGAACGAACCTCAATTTTGAAGATATGAGTATTTAATTACATCTTGGGGTTTTCCTCCCATCTGACCTGTGGGCTTTCACTATGTCTTTCCAAAACTGACAGAAGAATTATTCCATTGGAGATATAATAACCCAGTACTTAAAAGTTAAACATGACAAGCTGAATGACTTTCTTCTTTTGTTTCAATCAGATTATGGCCACCCATGCAGTGACCATGGTAAATAAATTGCATATTTGCACTATCTGCTTAATGAGCAAATTTCTATGTTCAAAGTTCCTGATGATATCTGGCATTGGTGTGTAAATTGTACTGTCATGAGTTTACATATCATCCATTCAGATGTGCTTTTAGTTTTTTTAGTTGTGATTAATCCAGTTTCCTCACTGTAGGAGTGTTTCTGAACATTTGCCATTTTAAAAATAATCTTTCATTCCCAAATGTTCTAAGTAGATACATTTCACAAGTTTTTCAGCCTTTCTTTTCCTTGTCTGTTGGTCAGACCTACTCATGGAGACATTATCCACACTGTGGTCCTGAAATAAATGAATTTCACTAAAGCTGCTTTTGAGAATAAAGTCTTCGGTATTTTTCTTAGGTAAGAAGCACATTTTCAAGAATCATGGAGAAAACGACGAACTAATGGGCTAGAATTGAATCACTGCTACATTTTTAATAATGCAGTGACAAAACCCATCAAAGTAAAATCAACAATTCATTTCTTGCCCCCAGGAAATACTAGAAGGAGATTAGTGCGGATGAGTCACTACTGCTTACACAGCATCTCTTCGAGGGAGGATGCCTGGCTGACACAGTAATGAAGGCAGAAATAGGTCCTAATGCAGTTGTGAAATCACCAAAGAAAATGGTGCCCACCATTTGCTCTGACTTATGTAAAATATCTCTTTCTTCAAGATAGTTTCCCTATTTTTTTGCAGAATACTTCTGCAACTAAATATATGCAGACAAGCATATGTTACATTTTGATCCATTATCTTTAAACACATGATACCTCTTCATCTTCTGGGAAATTAAATTTCCCTGTAGATTACAAAATGGGTTGCAGTGAAGCCATGGTGGAATTAGGTGGGATGACCGCTGATTCAAAGAACTAGTAGAGTCCTCAAGATTTGCAGGTCAAAGTCTCATACTTCATAAAAAAGGAAACATACCAAGACAGAGGAAGAGACTTACCCGGGCTCACACTGGAAGTTGAGTATCTGAACCATGTCTAGAAACATCCATTTGGACAGTGTCTATATAACATTGTTCACCACTAAACTGCACTGAACATGGCAACCAGTTGCTTCTGATGGACCCTCTGACTTCCCAGCATCCCTTCTTTGTAATGCAAGGAAATATCTATTCTCCATGAATACAAAATATTTCTCTGTAATTCTTACAATCTTGTTTCCTTGCAATATCTTACCCTCAGCAATGGTATACTTAGAGAATTGATACATTTCTTTGGGTGTTCATCAAATTCTACTTTTTCTAAATCAGTGTCTCTAAAAGTGGCAGGAAATGATGAGTACAGAATTGAATTTAGGCCAGTCATCAATTATAATGCAATCTTGCTTTTGTTTTCATTTTTCTTCCCACTCGCACTGCTTGTTCTTTGTTCCTGCCACCTCCACCATGATGAACCACATAGAAAATACTTAAGCCACTTAGGATCTTCCCCTTTTTCTTGACACCTACGTGCCATCTCCTGGAAGCCATGTTCCACTACCCTGTTGTCGGCACTTTACTTGAATTGCACATGTTCTGGTCAGGTTGAGAGTAGCTGGACTGTTGACACTAGTCACACAGTACATAGGAGCTATGAGGCAATAAATAATGACTAAAGTAGGTGCTTAAATTATCCCCATTCCTCTGCAAGTATTTTGCTGCTGAGTTCCATTCATGTCTGCTTTCAGTGTACCCACTTGTGAAATGCCATATTCAAAGACTTAGTAATGTAATAGGCCAAGCCCACGCATCTGAGGTTTGTCCTATCATTCTAATCATTCAGAGCCCTAGAAAGGGAACTCATTCTGGGATTCACCTGGTACCTCCCTTGGAAATCACTGTATATTCCATTGCTTCTTCCCATCCTCATCCCACCTGTTGCCCTCACTAATGCTGTATCTACACATCAAAGTCAAAGGGGCAGAGGAAAGACGATCAAGATAAATCATTCTAAGACCAAAATAACACTTTTATGTGGAATGATTGAGAAAGACGAGTACTCATTTGCATGCATTGTTCAGATGATTGACCTCTTCACTCTGCTGCCCTGTGAGTACACAGATACTGCTAATGTGGTTAGGCTTTGATAGTTTCACTTCTTGTTTCAAGCCATAGGAAAAGCAAATGTGAAGAGGCATTTCTTTGGTGTCATCATTTTGTGTGGTCCATGAAGATGCTTATGTGTTTTTGCTGGTTTGTGTCTAGCAATGTTCAGCTGCATATTATGCGATGAAAACCCAGTGTCTTTAGGCTTCACATTACTAATAATGAGGTTTAAAGTCATCATGTGTAGGGTTGGCATCAGTTAATATTTAGCCAGCTGGCTAAGATGGGAAAGGAATAAGGTATTTCTTTTCTTATATAATAATGAAAAGCAATAATTACAAGTACGTAATAATACACAAAGGCCATAATTAGTCTCTTCCAATGTTTAAGATGCACTAGAGAATTATACAGTCATTTGGAGTGTGTTTGGACCCATTAGTATGTACTATAGCAAACCTTTCAACAAACAAATCCCTGAATTGCTACTATTTAACAATTTTATGAGCCCATACTACTGCATTTCGGGAGTGACAAATGTGTTTGGAAATGGAGGCTGTTCTTTTTAAGCACTGTATCAGAGATTGTCTTGTACATTTACCTGTTGCAAACAGGCTGGTTTGTAAAAGATGTATGTTTTGGTGTTTAAAATGTTTATAAAACTGTATATAAATGGTTTCAATTTTCCAGGCTTTTGTAGATATTGTATTTGATGCCTATCAGGATGCTTTAATTTGGAGGGTCGAATATAATTCTAAGTCATCCATGCTGTTGGTCTCCAAACATTTGAGGTAACTACAAACACACACACAAAAGGATTTTAGATTTGAAAATGATGTTTGTTAATCATTTCAAAATGTACTGTACCTTTTCTTTGGTTCTATTATTTTCATTTAACTCTCTTTGTTTTTAAGAAAACATGTTTATTGACATTATTTTAGGATGAAAGTGTTTTCCCCATTATTAAGTACCTGATTGTTGTACCATTTCGAGAGTCAGAATGAAGTCCGTTCTTTCCTCACATGCACGCACACTCACCCAAACTTGCACATACAACACACCAAACCTTATGCAAAAGGGAAAGCTGACACTTGAAGTGAAACTTGTCCCTAATGGAAATAGATTGTTCCTGCATATATTGCTGTTGGCAGTATTGTCTTGTGTTCTTAAAAAAAAAAGAAAAAAAAATCAAAACAGAAAACACACACACGCAAAAGAAGGAAAACAAACCAACCACCACCACCACCAACAACAACAACGAAAAACCCCAACAGTGTACAGGTTTGTAACTGCCAAAATTTGATGATTAAAATAAGTTTTCAAGTAAAAAAAAAAAAAAAAAAGAAACTAGCTACTGTGTTGACTCTTTTTAAATGTTTCCTTTTTTGTCCTTAGTTCTTGCATGACTTTTAAGAGGATGTATTCTGCAAGGAGTGGTGGGAAGGTTCTGATCATCTCTTTAACCTTCTACCACACACAGAGAAGACTTTGATCTGAAAAGGGGTGCTTTTGTTTTGTTGTATCTGTGTGAATTTTTTTTTCTTCAGAGACTTTTTATCTCCAGAAAGACTCCAATTAATTCTACTACACATATGTTGAAATCTTATGTAACTTCCTTCTGAGTGTATATACTGAGGCACCTTTTCTAGAGGAGAAAAATGAAGAGTACTAGAGGTTGAAACAAATAATAGTTATTGAGTTCCACCTCCACAATATGTCTCCCAAGTGCATCCCACCTCTTCTAAGCAACAACTCCATGACTTCCCTCCTTTAAAAAAAAAGAAAAAGAAGTATCAAAAGTTTGGAGCAAAATTGGCATTAGAGTTTTTCCCCAAATCTGTAAAAACTTTCCTTTATGGAGTGAAAGTTACTAAAATAGTGTGTGTGGCTCAGTGGAAGAGCAATTGCCTTGCATGTGCAAGACCTCAGTTTCGATCCCCAGTACCAAAAAATGTATATACACACACAGAGAAAGAGGGAGAGAGAGAGAGAGAGAGAAATAGAGACAGAGACAGAGACAGGGACAGAGATCAGTACAGAAGGGTCAAATTAGTGATTAAAAGAAAACATGCAATAAGAAGAAGCTTCCAGAAGAAAAGAGAGGCTCACTCCACACCTTGCTCTGATGAGGATGAGTCAGAACCTGCAGCCTGATCAGCAGCACAAACCCAGAGGCTGCCAATTGAATGGGTTCTGCCACACCAACAGCAGAGTTCCACCCTGGCTGAGACCCCTGCACCAAGGAGCAGTCTATCCATAGGAAATGGCCACAGCTTGGCACTGATCTTCTCAGTCGAATCCCCTACTAATTTTGAGGGCTCACGCCTGGCAATGCTTACAATATTGCATCCCTCTGGTTATCTCATCTTTCCTCCAGTGCAATGCAAGGATTATTTAACCACTCACTGTGGTGGGGGAGCACCAATTCATTGTAGGTACCAATTTCTATGGTATTTATACCATTTATACCATCATAACTAATTTCAAGCCATTAAAGTAAGAGAAACTGGTTCACAAGATTTCTGAAAGGCATGGAAATCTTAAAATAGGTTCTCATAAGCCAACAGAAACCAACCGTAGTGTACCAGGGCCTCCCTTCCCACTATACAATAACTTCTTGAAGGCAGAGTGATGTCATCATTACCACTGTACCCCTCATTCTCAGTGCATATTAAATCTTTTTATTGAAAATCCATCAATGATGTCTTCATCTAAATTACCTTACCCTTCTAAACACTTCATTTTGACAAAGGCAATTGACTTAAAGTAAAACCTTTAGTAAAAAGAATTTAAACAGAGGTAAGTATTGAAGATGCAGAAGTGCCCTGCCCTTCAAGTGTCCTTCTCCACACCTTTATGTTCATGAACTGAGAAACAGGAAACTAATTACATACATATTTTACATGAAGCCACCGTTTGCAGAAATCCAAGTTCCCACACATCAGTCAAAGGCCAGTCTTATAAAGGAGGCCTTTCAAAAGATGAATCAAGCCTGTGGGCTAACTTTATCAAGCACAGTTTCTTTAAAAATTTCCACCAAATTGGTCCTCAGTTTACCCAAACTCTTATCAATGAATGAATAAATTTTCTGATTTTCACAATGTACACTCCAGGAAGGTCAAAGCCCTCTGTGGAGTCCACAGTGACCCGCTTCTCAAGTCTTTTATCCACCTTTTCCCATGGAAGCAAAAGAGCTATTCAATAATTCTCCCCAAAGCATCCTGGGTAAATTCAAATGGGTTAGCAGAAGGAGTCTTTCAAATCTATATTTTGTGCAAAAATTATCCTCAGAGAATTCTAGATAGCTAGTAGTTTCCGTGCGCAAAAGTTTCCAGTTTTTCAATCCAGATATAGAGCAGGAAATATTTTTTCCTTTTAAAAATCTTTTCCATTTTTCTCTCCATTCTTTCACTTTTTAAATTTTAATTAACTTTCTGGCAACTATACTTACTCTGTACTGTTCTGATAAGGAGGATTTGGAACAATCTAAATATGAGATATTAAGTGATAACTTGGAGCAAACTGGTACAGGAATTAAAACAGCCTAATGAGCCAAGCAACAATAAGTTACTTAACAGAAAATTTTAAGAGATCTCTAAAACTGTCACTTCAGTTTTTCGTGCTACAGGTTACTATCCCTTACATTAAACGATCAGAATAAAAAGTATTTGAATTTCATTTATTTTTATTTTGGAATATATATATATATATATATATATACAATTGGAATGTATCTTGAATACACAATATATGTATGAAATATACATATCCATTTGGAATGTGTCTTGGGTTTTGGAGTCCAAGTCTAAAAATAAATTTCATTTATGTTTCATATACATAGCCAGGAGATAATTTTATGCAATAGTTTTTTTTTAAATTTTATTTAAGGAGAAAAAAAAAAAACAGAGAAAAGGTACAAGTTATACAGAAAAAAGTTATACAGAAAAAAATAAACAGGAAATCACTAGTTAATGGATTACATATTGTCATCTTAGAAATAATTGTTTAAGTTACAAAATTAAAGCTTATAAAGTGGACATTCCAACAGAGAGACTGCAAACAGTTCTATTCAATAATCCAACAAAACTCAGTGATATCATTATCTATCTTATACACTTAAATATACATGCAGTTATATCGTTTAGAGCACTTTCTTTTTCTCTCTTTTGTACAATGACAATTACACATTTTGGTTGTTGTTGCTCCCACAGTTCTTATTACTTTTTTGGAAGAGAGTAGAACCAAATGTGATATAACAGAACAGAGTCAGTCAAATCAAAAGGGTGGACATAATAGATAATGTAAAATCATAATATAAGGTGATCAACAATGGTTACCATAATGCCTCCTGCTATCTCTAATAGAATTGCCTATATCATCAGTTATAATAAAATTGAACAAAACAGTAAAGAACAAAACAGACAAAACCAAAACATTGGAGACATTATAGATCTTCAAAAGTAGATAATAGTCAACCAAAACGGGCATCATAATGAATCCCACTATCTTCACAGCTGTTGCCTAAACTTTCGAACCTGGTACTATCAAGCAAAACAGAATAGAGGGACATCAGTCAAAATAAGATGGTGAGAGCAATGCAGGGCTTTAAATCGAGGTAATGGAAAGTCAAAGTGGGTTACTATAATATATCCTGCTATTTTTAATTTATTTTTCCCTTAATTAAAAGGATAAAAATAAAAAAGTAAATAATAAAGTGGAGATTGAGATAAAAGAGGGCATAACAGCAAAACAGTGCAGATCAAAACATAACCATTTAAGCAAAATAGTGTTTCACCACAAGATAATCCCAACATAAAAGTAGTTACCATATTGTCTCTTTCCTTGAAATCTTTGAGTATAACTTCATATACTGTAGCATCAAACATATCAAAACAATGTAAAACCATTTAAGAGAATGACAGTATTACAGGGTATTTAGAATCAGCTAACAGAAAATGAACAATGGTTTCTGTATAATCTCCTTATCTATAAAAGTTTTTGCTTATACTATCATACATAATAAAATCTAATAAGATACAACCTGTTTAGACCAATGGAGACAGAAAAACAAAAGCTTGATGAGACTTCAAAACAAGATGATACTAAATCAGTATTACCTATTAAGACGTCATTTTCTCCAAAACAGCTATTCCTATCATCCAATCTTCTCTGCCTCATTTCTATTGAGCTCTTTTTCTGTCATTAGTTGTCAGTTTGTCTTCTTCATTTTGTTTTCTGCTCCATTCATTGTGGCCTCTCTGCCACTATTTCTGGATTCTTTGTATTTTTCTTTTTTAGAATATCCTGCAGTATTCTCTGTAGAGTTGGATTGGTGGTTGCATATTCCCCTAGTTCCTCTTTATCCTGAAAGCACCTTGTTTTTCCATCAGTTTCCAGGGATAGTTGTGCAGGATATATCAATCTTGGCTGGAGATTATTATCTTTCAAAGCTTGAATTATTTCCCCCCACACTCTTCGTGATTTGATGGTTTGTGCCAAGAAATCTGCTGTAATTCTGATGGGTGTTCCCTTGTAAGTGATCTGTTTCTTGTCTCTGACGGCTTTTAATATTCTGTTCTTGTATTGGATTTCTGGAATTTTAATTATTATATGCCTGGGTGTAGCTCTGTTTGGGTTGTAGGTGGCTGGGGTCCTGTATGCTTCATACAACTGAGCATCTTTACGTTTTGCTAAATTAGGAGAATTCTCCTGGATTATTTCTGTGAGTAGCCTTTGTAGTTCATTTGTTTGTGTCCCTACTTCTTCTTTTATGTTCTTAATTCTTAAGTTATGGATCCTCTTATCATCTTCTAGTCTCTGTATTATTGCTGTTTGTTTCTTTGTTATTTTTAAGAAGTTTTTCATTTCATTCTCCCATATTACAAATCTGCCCTCCAGTTCAGATAATCTGTCCTTAATTTCTTTCAAGCTGTTATGCCAGTTTTCGATAGAGTTTTTGGTTTCCTGGTAATCTCTTTGAACCTGCTTCACGTATTCTATGCTTTCTCTATTTTCTCCATCAAACAATTCTCCCCTCTTTTTCTGTTCTTCCATTCCACCATCTTTTCTTTCTTGGGTGGTGCTTAGCATTTCTCTAACTATTCTGCTTATGTCTAGCTTCACGTCATTAATAACTTCATTCCTGAACTTGTCTATGAGGCTCTGGAGATAGTGCTTTATATCTATTGGTGCTGTGTCTGC